CATCCAGTAATCATCCACGCCGAAAATACAAACCCATGATCATCAGACGTACATTCAGACACTCTGCCATCATTCTATCAGCCTGTTAGTAATTTATTCGCCCAATGTACTGTACGTTATAGAAATCTATGTCATATAACCCCATCAATTACACTTTCAGTTAGTGTGTGATTAACATTCAATTTTCACTACGTGTGCTTTCGTAAGTATTATTGGAACATTTTTAGAGAGTTCTTCTATGAAGAAGTAATCAATTACTGTGCAGGACTTGAGCGGCCTTTTTTCGGTTAGCAAGTATGGAAGACACGTTTTGGAAGTTACATGGTTCTTGCACGTTTTACCTGGACAAAATCATTATTCCTTCCTGTATTCTGGGCAAGGTTATTCTGAAGGTCTTCTTGTCCTGTGTGTAATGAATTATTTATGAGACAGGCGATTATACCGGAAGATGGCCATGTAAATTAGATGATTTTAAATGAATGAAAGACTAATTTATTTTTTCTGTCATCCTGTTAATGAAATATAGTGTCACTTCATCAGCTGTGTTTGTTTAAAATTCTCTGTGGAGAGAGAGTCTCAGGGCGAAATACTGCGTAATGGGTGCAATGTCCCTTGCATACATTTTTTTTTCACTCAGAGGAATGTTATTTAGTTATTTAAAAATGTTTACTTTTATTTAGTTTTCAGTGAATCTATTAAAAAAATGTCAGAAGCAGAATAATCTAACCTGTATGCTAGATACTACAAAAGGATGGACACAGGTAACTCATTTTGACACAGAAATTTGTTCAAATTATTCAGACTATTTGTAAAGTCAAAATTAAAGTAGCTACCAGAATAGGGGCTTAACACTAAACATTGTTGCCATGGTAACAAGTTAGGGTACCCCTACCATCTCCCACTTTTTATTTAGTTTTTTGTCATTTGTTTGGAACTTTGACTCATCGAAATATCATGAATTTTATCGTGTTTTTACCTGGTAAAATAACAGTATTTTTACTAGTTAGCCGCGTCCATCCTGAATTCAAATAGTAAATATCAATTGAACAAACTGATATGAGATTCAATATATTCCTGGTATGAAGATGCCATGTTGTGAAGGTGCGAGATAAAAATTTGGCCCTACTTAATTGCATGCAAGTGCAATTAAAAAGTACATATTTCAAATATACAGTACTTTTAAAATATACATATTAATGATTTATACTATAATTTTTAATGGGGTGTATTATGATCATGTCAGCTGTTTTGGAAGTCAATAAAATAACTTACACTGCCATTCTATAAACTGCCTAGCCCAAACTGGTTCAAGCATGGCATATAGATATATATCTGCAAACAGAAAAAAACATGTAACAAAAAAAGGCTTTATATATACATATTTGAGGCCTATGCATCTTTAGGCAATTTTTAACACATAGGTAACCATGTTTGAGCTCCAATTCCTTTCCAGACAGTCATGTTTACTAAGCTACCAAGCTTTTTTTACCAAGTCAGCAGACCTGACAGTGAAGAAAACAAAAATTTAATCTATAAACCACCATTATCACATCTGGTTTTACGTAGTCCATCATTCAAAAAATATTTTTCAAAATCACCTTTCTGCTGTTATTTTGCTTTCAAGATTTTACCAACGCAAGTTATGGCAATTTTTTATATGGTGCTTTTGCTGACTAGTTATTTTATATCCATATATGGTGCTATTATTTTTTGACATCCATATATGGTGCTTTTGCTGACTAGTTATTTTATATCCATATATGGTGCTATTATTTTTTGACATCCATATATGGTGCTTTTGCTGACTAGTTATTTTATATCCATATATGGTGCTATTATTTTTTGACATCCATATATGGCGCTTTTGCTGACTAGTTATTTTATATCCATATATGGTGCTATTATTTTTTGACATCCATATATGGTGCTTTTGCTGACTAGTTATTTTATATCCATATATGGTGCTATTATTTTTTGACATCCATATACATTGTATAGTAGTACTCTTGCTGACTGTGGTAATTTTTGAGCGTTCCAAATATGGTTCTGGTTATTTTTGCAAGTTACCGTATAAGGCACTATTGCTGACTGGTAATTTTCGAGTGTCTCATATATGGTATCAGCAGACTGATAATTTTTGAGAATTCCATATATGGTACTATTGCAGACTTAGTTATTTTAATTTGCAAGTTTCAATATCAGGTAATATTGCTGACTGGTAATTTTTGCGATTTCCATATAAGGTACTATTGCTGACTGGTAATTTTAGTGATTTCCATATAAGGTAATATTGCTGACTGGTAATTTTTGCGATTTCCATATAAGATACTATTACTGACTGGTAATTTTTGCGATTTCCATATAAGGTAATATTGCTGACTGGTAATTTTTGCGATTTCCATATAAGGTACTATTGCTGACTGGTAATTTTTGCGATTTCCATATAAGGTACTATTGCTGACTGGTAATTTTTGCGATTTCCATATAAGGTAATATTGCTGACTGGTAATTTTTGCGATTTCCATATAAGGTAATATTGCTGACTGGTAATTTTTGCGATTTCTATATAAGGTAATATTACTGATTGGAAATTTTAGTGATTTCCATATAAGGTAATATTACTGACTGGTAATTTTTGCGATTTCTATATAAGGTAATATTACTTACTGGAAATTTTAGTGATTTCCATATAAGATAATATTACTGACTGGTAATTTTTGCGATTTCCATATAAGGTAATATTACTGACTGGTAATTTTTGCGATTTCCATATAAGGTACTATTGCTGACTGGTAATTTTTGCGATTTCCATATAAGGTAATATTACTGACTGGTAATTTTTATGATTTCCATATAAGGTAATATTGCTGACTGGTAATTTTTGCGATTTCTATATAAGGTAATATTACTGACTGGATATTTTAGTGATTTCCATATAAGGTAATATTACTGACTGGTAATTTTTGCGATTTCCATATAAGGTACTATTGCTGACTGGTAATTTTATGTGATCAAGACATGATTCTTCCGTGGATTGCTCATTTTTGCCACATGTGATCGTTTGAGATCATTTTGAGGGATCACTTTCCATGAATAGGTTTTTACCATTTTGGAAACTGCGAGAGGTTACATGTCTGTGCCTTTGGAGAAATATGTCACTACATAAAATGTATTATAACCTCAGTACTCACATTGTATGTCTACAAATAGTTATAATTACAGAATGTGACATACAGATGATGCTGGTATATGTAGGGTATGGATTCTTGGCTACAGCAGCCCAGAATACCTTACGATTTGAATTGCTTTGATGTGGTAATGAATTCATCCCATCAGATTTGTCTCTATTGATGTCTATTATAATCGTCAAGTCTGCATTCTGATGTTTTCATGCTTGTTTATGTATTTGTTTGTGGGAATAATTAATTACATTATATAACGCTATGTGGTGTTATGTAATGCTTACATGTCTTTTCAAAATCACTGGAGTTAAAAAATCTTATTTTATCATTATCATTATCACATTTACTAAGACACAAACGTGAAGAATAATAATAATGTGTTATTTTAATTCTGATATATTGTTAACCTTCTTATTGCTTTGTCAACCTTTTAATATCCATTACATCAAGATCCATAAACTTTACCATTAAAATAAAAGAAACAAAGATAACAAATAAAACTGCAATATATTATGTCTAGTCGGTCCTAAGTGTCACCATACCAGAAATTCAAAAAAAAACGATTTTCATCAAAATTTGGCAAAAAAAAAGTCTGGCAATGAAAAGGATTATCTTTTTACGGGCAGACTTTTCCTCAAAATAACAAATATTTACAATTTTTGTGTAAGTATCATCAAATTTAATCGTAATTTTTAACTATGACAACTGAATATGTAGATTTTCACAAAATATTTTGAAATTTATCAATATCCTTGATAGAAATGTTGACAATAGCAGTGAGAGGGTTAAGCAGTCTATATGTATATTTACATGCAAATACACTTATAACAGATCTTCTTCTAGTTGAACACAAAATGCACATGAACATAGATTGACCCAAAGAACCATAAGTTACATTTTTTTTTTT